ATAGCTGTCACGACTCATTTAATGGCCTTTAAAAATATCTGGTGTGATATATGTACAAATCAAAATAAATATCATATTAAAGGTTCATCTTTGTAGACTAATTTCTCAAAGTTTCCTTCTTGGCTCGCCATAGGCAGCGCGTTCAGCTTGAAAAGTGTTTGGGGCTAAAAATAACAAAAAATGTGATGCGATCCGTTGAACGGCTGTCACGCAAGAGGGTTTTTGGTACATTCTTGGCCAAGCTGCGTTAGTGCGGCACATCTTAATTTTCTGTAGTAGTCAGGAATCGAATTCACTTTGTCGCAGTTCAAAATTAGTAGACATCAAATGATGTCGTTGATCGGTGGAAGCTTGGATTTGAAAACATTTTACTTTTTACATCAGTGTAAGGCTTCATTTGATGAACTTGTATATATTTTAACAACGCTGCTGAGGTACAACATAAACATTTTATTAGAAACAAATTAATTATGGGTGTCTGAATATAATTACGTACGATTTAAAATATTCATTTTCATATGCAATTAGATGGCTTTCATCGGAAAGGGAGGAGTGAGAGGAGGCTTAACCTGTTCGTACAAAGTTCGCTTTCTTTTCTAGAAATGGAGATATTATCAAAGTACCTTATGGTTTCTTATGAATGGATAACGACGATAAGTAGATAAATAAATGGAGGAATAAAGGACAGATGAATAAAATAATGACTAGACTATATGATAAAGTGCTGCTCTAACTGACGAATAAATCAAAGCGAAAAAAGATACAGTTACATGCCAATGAGCATTCTCGGCAAATAAAAGTTGGCTAAGTTTGAATTCAAGGTTGGGGTGAGAAATAAGAGTCGAATGAAAAAAAAAGAGCTTGTCGAGAACTGGGCTCGAGGAAACATCTGAGGAAGTTTTTCTATCACGGTTGTTAAATCCTAACCAGTTCTAATAGATGCTCATCGACGAGCTACTATTAGTGTAAAAAAAAAAACAATTTTTTTTCCTTCTGAGATACCCTAGGTAGTTCCCTTACTCTCAGTACTTGATTCTTGGATGTAGTTTTGAATTTCTTGACCTTCTGACCTTGGTTATATCCGCTACTCATTTTCGACAAAAAAGGATACTTCTCATTTTGATTACTTGAACTGTTATTTTATTATACTTTGGATCAAATACAAAAAGGTATCAGAGCCTCAGCTTCTGAAGATTANGATAATGGGGACATGTCTTCGCCGATACGTCATGTTTTAATATTGCCGATTTTTGTTCTGAGATGTTTTTCTAAACCTTTCGTTATTAGATGTTTGATAATAATAATCATGCTTATTGTCACTTACAAGTTCGACCAGCACAACAAATGATATAAATATCCAGATCAGACCATTGTTAGGAGACATCCAGCAGCTTTAAGAAAATCGAAAAAAGAAAAGATGAATTCCTAAATATTTTTTTGTTTGCTACATGAATCATGAAAAACTTCTTTTTGGCATACTTATATGGATTTGGCGCTCATTCACTGAGTTGATTCTGCCTTATCTCTACATATTGCCTAAATAAATTAATAGATACAGTTCTAAACAACCCGATTCAAAACCGATGAGAAGGCTCAGAATTTTTTTAATGACCACAATCTTTAAATACAATAACAAAACAAACAAGTAAGAAAACAACGGAAGGAAAATGTTGGAAATTCGCCACCTATGTTCTTCAGCTGTTCGTTGTTGTCGTAGTTGTTGTTTTTTTTCTCCCAAAAGAATACTTGCGTCAAATCAGTTGTTGGAAATCAAAGCTAATTGGGATGGCATTCAATCAGCACAGGGAAACTCAACTTACTATTTATCACTCACAAAACTGTCGATCCCATCTTTTCCGGCTGCAATACTCAGCGATATGGCAACAATGAGCGCAGGAAGGCCTACAAAATAATTGAAACATGTTCTTACCTATAAGGAAAGTAATTTATCTTTCAACCTCGGACAGTTACCTTCGGCACCGCTCTTGAGAGTTATTCAGGATTATAGCAAGCATGGAAACAGTGTGTTCCTGACCCAGTGCTCTTGAATTCGAAGAGGGATCCTCAAGGATCAGGGACGCACGAAGATAAGGTTGTACAAGAACCAAACAAAATGGATTCTGAGAGGCTGTCTCTTAAATAAATTGAAGTCATGGGCAAGTAGATCATAAGAAACAAAGGGAGTAAAAACAAAGGGATGGCGTGTAAAACTGTTTAAACATCTTAATAGTCACAGGATAAATTACCCCATGACATTCCATGGCAAATTCATAACTTGTTGCCAACGTTGTAAACTTTCACAACAAACAGGTAGAGATGAATTCCCTCGACAAGCATCCAGCAGAAGGCGGCCATTAAGAAATACTGCACAAGGGCCGCCACTACAATGCAGCCTCCCTGGGAAAATGGACAACAAAACAGGACAGTTTTGTTTTTAATTCGCCTGGATGATTACACCTCATGGTTTATTTGAACGGTAAATTTAAATAATGTGTGTAATCCTAACTCTTTTAAGCTAGTGGTAGATGAAAAAAGGCTCACCATAAAATCTTTTTCTTTTAATTAGAAAGAAAAGGAAGCTAATATTCGACAAAAATGAAATTACTCACTTAAACTGTTCTTAAAGCCTTCTAAATGCGTTAATTACATTTTCTCCGAATAAAATATTTATTTTCGTTCAAGCATTTTTTTAATCTTTCTTATTTTTCTTATCTAATTATTGCTTTATTTATGTGTACTCATGGGCCTCCTATTTTGACTGTAAACAATCAGAATTTTTCAGAATTGTTGCCTTGTTCTCGGTTGCTCCAATCCCAGTAAGAAATATGATTTGTCCTGCACCAAGAGATGCGACGAGACTAACTCGAATCTGGGATAGAGGTCCTGTTATATCTCTGGCATCGTAAAAACAAAAAAAAAACAATACATAAATAAATCAATACATAAATAAAATTACCGAAAAGAAAAAACAAAACAAAACAAAACAAAAAACAGCAACAACAAGAAAAAAAAATAAAGGAAAGATTCTTTAAAGATATGATAGTCAACTAAGTTAATTGAAACACAATGCAGCAAAGAAGTCGAACAGATGATACACAGTATCATAAATGTGCTCCTATTGGCATCAAAGATAGTAGTTTTTGTCATACAATTTGAAAATTTAACACCTTCTGTCATTCGTATAAGTAGAAATTGAATTATCTCGTCAGTAATACATATTCTCATTCCTATTTCCATATATTTTTGTAGAGGAATACAAAAACTGCTCCATATCTTTTCTTCATCATAGAAACCAAAGAAAAAAAGCGAACAAGGATTGTATTAGCATTATACTGCACGTTTATCACTGGCACCTGTCCGTTGACAGAACCCAGCATACTTGGCAACTTTATTTTATTGTCTCGCCTCATTTTAACTAGCATACATTTCGTATGTCTAACCATTGAACTCACGTGAGAGTAACATAGCTGATTATCGTCAAGGAGATCCCAATAACAGAGAGAGTCAACCCGACGGTTGTGAGAATTTCCAAGGCCTTTTCGTCTTTCTTCAACAAAAGAAAAAAAAACAAAACAACACAAAACAATAACAATTATAACAATACTTTTAAAAAATATTACAAAGTTTAGAAATATCGGATTCACCAAGTTTTTAGTGTACTTCACTATGTAATATCGATCATATTGTAATATGCATTTACTTGGATATTCGAGCATGTCCCATTGTACAAGGAAGCCAAAAATCTTATGGTGACACCTACCTCTGATATATCGACACTATCTGAACGAGATGTTGAGTCCAGAAGAACAGCAAAATGAGTCAAATGATTGCAGGTACATACTGTTTGGTGTGCATCAGTAGATTTGACATGGCAACCTTGTCCTGACCAGCCAATAGAGCTGTGGTGTAAGATATATAAACTTTCAATCAAGCGAGGCTATGGTGCAAAAGAAAAGCAAGTGGAGCACCATATGTAATGAGATATGAAACTTATCCAAGCGAGGAACTTCGTCTGCTGTACTATGGTCCTTAAGTGCTTGCATGTATTTGCCTGTTCTCGAAACTATATTCAGCATGCATGGAAAACCTTATGTAACAAATTTGAATAAAAGGGCAACGAAATTTAGATAAATCGATCTTCTTCTCGGCTTAATTTAAGTTACATATAATATAAATATATTAATAATAATAATAATAATAATAATAATAATGATAATAACAATAGCAATAGTAGTAGTTCATAATAAGTNAAAAAAGGTTATCGATAGATCAAGGAAGACAAAATAAACAGTCTTTAATCCATATTCAAGATATATGAAATGTGCATGTAAGGGAGAGAACAGTGAGAACTGGTTTATTTCATTATATGGATGTATGTTGCCCCAGATTGCCGCGGTAAGGCTACTTCATGTGATGAACGCCATTTCAATGCGGCCCTTCAACCGGAAGGGACGATTATCTCGAACATACTTATCACATTGAGAAATTGCATTACCCACGTGCGCGCTGCTCATGCTTAGTTCAGTTGTCGTGTGATTAAGGTTGTACTGTCCGTATTCCAACAGGGATGTTTCCAAAGTGATCAATTTTAGAAAAACTTCCTCTATCTTTTCCTGCTTTTGCTGACTGTTGTTGCGTATCTCGTTTGAAAGACGCCGAGGAATGGTGTTGAAATCATCGAAGATTTCCTATAAAAACAGTGACGTGGTTTTGTTTGTAGAAAGGAATGACAAACCATGCTATTACCATGAGGTTCCTTTATCACTTATTACGTCAGCATGTGCGGCGAGCCATTGACAGCAAGTGTTCATTGCCCTTAGTATTATCAATGAAGCAACATAATTTTTTTTAAGAGTGGTTATACAGTTTTTTTAATCAGAAATATAATACGTTTTACGATTAAAAAGTGATATAGTTTATACATGCATATCATGGAGTGAGAACTAACTTAGTAGCCACAAAAGCAATTTGTAAAAAAAAGAGAGGGGATAAAAATAGAATACCTTTCCACTGACGCCTTCCGGTTTTGGCTGATAACCTTGGTGGAAACGACAAAGCTTTTAACTTAATATACACCCAAAGAAAATAAGTCACTAATTTGGAGAAATTAGAGCAATGCATAAATGAAAAATAAATGCATAAATGATAAAATTGCTGAGTAAGGAAAACAAAAAATTGTTAATGAAGGGTTGAAATAGTTAACTCTCATGGGAATAAAAGAACAAAGGAACTGTTGGCTGAATAGAGAGACGGCTGGATTTAAATACATACCATTGACGAAATAATAAGTAGATTCATAGTGAAAACAAAAGGAATCTTATACATACCATTCTTTGTTGATGTTCAGTTCGTTATCTTTATCATGGTGTAGACTTTGTAGAATCCCCAACCCAGGTAGTGGTAACAATGTTTGACGCCTAAGCTATATGATGGGCTCTTTTTTGCAGAGTTCACCATAATATTTGTGGGAAAATGTCGCCGCGTGAGTTACTGAATGCATTTTTCTTGCCAATCAACGGATTCTTCGAGACAAAAAGCGAAGTCTCTTCACCACATCAGGACACAAAATCGACGAGGTAGGGAAGGGCATTTAATTTCAAACCAAAGCTGATTGGTTTCGGTTTCAATCAACTGACAGGTGTCCTTTACCCCTTTAAGTTCCTTCCCTGCATAATTATTAGAACACTGGTTTCTATCACCTGAAAAAAGTGGGTAAAAACGTTAAATTCTAAAGAGAATACTTGACCGTACCCAGTTTCTAATTATAAAATTAATTCTATAGCAGATATTTTAACTGCGATAGTCCGCTTTAAGTATCCTTCAGCAGGAGACCACAAGTTGTTTTGGCTTTATGGAGGATATTTTGAGTGGTAAATATCCGAGAATTAAGTTATAAGTAATAGAACCATCGAATTGATACTGACATAAAATAATAATAATTCTGATAATGATAATAATAATAATAATAATAATAATAATAATAATAATAGTAATAATAATAACAATAATGATAAAAGATCTTCAACGATTGGCGAATATACTGTGATGAAATAAATATTTCATTCTTGCATCATATCTATAAGGATAGGGAGGGGGTGGTTGTGGAGATGAACGAGGACAAATTGGCAAATATAGACAAACAAGATATCAGATAATTCCCCTCTTCTTCCCCATTCAAACAGATAAATAAATAAATGAATAAATAAATAAATAAACGAAACGAATAACATTACATGACTGACATCGAATCAGAAGGTTATCCAATTGTTCTTTCTTACTCACCAATTATTAGTGTAAGGAAGAAAATTTTCCAGAGCATTTCGGTTAAAGATCTCTTAGAACTTTTAAGTGTCAAATCAGCCTTTGTGTGTCTTTAAGATCACAGTGTCGTTTAACGT